AACAAGATTGAATTATACACTCATTAGGGAGATGAAGTTAAAAGTTTTAAAAGCCTTGTCATGACTTTTTCTTTATGTTGGATTCTCCCCCTTTGCGTTTTAATTTGTGACGCCCAATGGATTCATTTTTCTGGGCTTCCTGGGGTTGTGATCCTCATTGTCTTTTCCTACGATATTGTCTAAAATTTTTTGTAGTGCTGGTTTGGTATTCATGAAGTTCCTTAGGTGCTCTTTGTCATGAAAGTATCTTATTTCTCCATCCATTTTGAAAGATAGTTCTGCAGGGTACATCAATCTGGGTTGGAGGCTGTTTTGCTTTAGGGCTTGAAATACATCACTGCAAGCTCTTCTTGCCTTGAGAGTTTGCATTGAGAAGTCTGCTGTGATTCTGATGGACTTTCCTTTGTATGTGATTTGTTTCTTTTCTCTCACTGCTTGTAGAATTTTGTTCTTCTGTTGGGTTTCTTGGATCCTAACTATTATATGCCTATGTGTAGATTTTTTTTGATCAAGGCTAGCTGGAGTCCTATTTGCCTCACTTATCTGTATGTCAAATTCTTTTCCCCTGCTTGAGAAGTTTTCTGCCATCATTTCTGTGAACAGTTTTTTTATGTCATTTGCACTCTCTCCTGTTTCTTCACTGACTCTGATCAGTCTTATGTCATTCTTCTCATTATCTAGCAGCTGCTGGATTGATTTCTTGTGGTCCCTTACTACTTTAAAGCAAATTTTCTTTTCCTGTTCACTAATTGCAGTCTTCTGTATCTGAAATTCTGTCTTCACATTGGCTCATTCTGCTGTCAACTTTCAGTGGAGTTTTTAATCTCTTGGAAATCTGTTTGCATCTGTTTTATGGATCCCATTTGTTTCCTTTGTTGGGCTTCCATCATGTTCCTCAGCTCCTCTGTGTTTTTATCTGTGTCCTCTTTAGATTTATTAATCATGCCTTATACTATGGGCATAGTCTCTGCTGTTATGTGAGAAATTATTTCTGATTTCATTTTTCCAGATCCTCTTTCGTTGCCAGTTCAGATAGTCCACGTGTTTTGAGTATCAGATTGTTCTATCTAGTTTCCCTTTGGGGTTGCTTTAGGTGATCTGGAAGTCTGGTTTTGAGACTTGTTTACATGTCTTCTCATTTTAACGGGGTGTGGGGGGTGGGATGTGTGCTGCTGGCACTTGCGTGGCTCACCTGATGGGGCTGGGGTTGGTGGTACGGCGGCCCGGAAGGTTCACCTCCTCTGTTGGGAGCAGCTCTGCTCCTGGGTGCTGGGGTGGTGGTACAGTGGCCCAGAAGGTTCAGCTTCTCTACTTTGCGGGCAGCTATGCTCCTGGGTGTTGGGGGCAGTGATATGGTGGCCCGGAAGGTTCACCTCTCTGTTGGGGGCACCTCTGTTCCTCAGCATTGGGGTCAGTGATATGGTGGCCTTTAATTTTCCTTTTTTATTTTTCAGATGATTGCAAAGGGGAAGAATGCATCTGAGCTATTTCCTGCTGTTGTGAAGAATGTGGCTAGTAAAAATATTGAGGTACTGTTTTGATTAATGGTTTTCATGAATTCTCTTATTGAAAAAGGACCATATACATTTTAATTGCTTTGAAATACAACGTAAGATGTTTAAATATCACTGATTTTTTGTTGCAGTTAAAATGTTCATAATGTTAAATGTGTGTAAAATAGAATAAAAATAAGCTGTAACCTTACCTTTGGATTTTTGGTAGAAAAGGTGAATGACAAAATTGAGGTTGATTGAATGAATGAAGATAATTTATTTTCACCAAACTTTACAGGCCAAGTTAAATTTTGCTGTAAGGACTTAAGACAGCATATATCCGGTGAGAAAGACCTAGTCATATATACCTAGATCTAGATGATTTGGGGGCTTTTGGTATTCTTAGTACTAGCTCAGGAATGTTTCCTAAATTTCTTGGAATACTCATAGTGTGTACTAAGTGCTCAGTATATATGTGTGGTGTTATGGTTTGGGTCTAGATGTTTTCCCCAAAGCCTCATGTCAGAGGTGGCTGATTCTAGAGTGTATGATGCTGGGATTAAGGGTGTATGATTACTAAACCAGTACACTGATTGTTTGGCACTGCCCTAGTCCTGCCAGTCCTGCTAGTAAGATAAAGGGGCAGAAAGAGTGTTAAGGTTCCCTTGTTGCTGTTACTACTGTGTGGGCACCATGAAATGTTTCTCCTCTGCTATGCCCCTCTGCCATGTGCCACACTGCCTTGGAGCCAGCCTATTATGGACTAAAACCTCTACAAATTGTGAGCTAAATAAACCCTTTCCCCTTTAACTTTGGATGTTGTGTATTTTGTCACAGCCGTGAGAAAAGTAACATGTGAATTTATTGTATGAATATGTCCCATCTAGTAAAATTGTTTTTCAAAACTGGGCTGTTATATTTGAGGCCCACCCCATTTATATTATAGAAAACTCTGGTTAATTCATAGAATTTTTCAACTTTTTTTCCCCATAAGATGTTAAATGTGTCACTGCTGCTATTTGCTATTGTGATGATAGATGACAAAACAAATGAAGAAATAGCAGGAGCATTCTGAGAGAGAATATGTGAAGAGGATAGTTGTGGAATTTGGTAGGGATACAGGTTTGATTTTATTTTTCATACACTGTGTGGCCATTGTTTGCTAGTGGAATTGATTCTGTTTATTGTGGTGACATTAAATATCCAAAGCACCCTGCAATAAAATTAAGCAGAGAAAAACTGAAAACACGATTTCTTGATACAACCTAATTTATGTTTCTCTTGATAAAATTGCCTTTCCCTACAGATATGTGTTTGATCTGGACAGTTGACCAACACAGTGTAGCAGTCTTCCTCCTTTAAATGAAGTGTGGTTGGGTGAAGGGTACCTCCAGCTTACCACTGATTAAAACTGGAAATCGAATTAGTTTGACATCGGTTCAGGGACTTTAATATATCACTATTTCCTGAAGGAGCCTGAAATGATCCTATAATCAATACCTTATTTATCTTTTCATTCAGTACATTAGCATTGGTTAACATTTATGACAAATATATATTTGTGGCTTTCACATGTGTGTATGTATGTATGGACATCCAGCCCCAAATGAGATAGACCAATTGTGTAATACAAAAACATAGTGTGTGTGTATGGGGTTTTTTTCCCCATTAAGTTTATTGGTACATTTTAGGCATAAAATACATTTACAGACATCATTGGGATCTTGTACCATTACATGAGTATCTTGGTTCTTATTTTTTTCCCTTCATCTCCTCCACCCTTCCCTATTCGCAAAGACTTTGTTGCCATTTTTTTCCTTTTCTCACATTTTTTTCTTTTCCCTTCTTTCCTTTCCCCTACCCCTCCCACTTCCCCTGCTCCTTTAGAACTTTACTTCCTATTATGCAGTATCAATTATACATTTTAAAAACTACAATATCAAGATCTAGGAGCCATTACCACAGATTTTACAGAATTTAAAAGGATATAGAAAGCATATTTCAAAAATCTGTTTTGCAATAAATTTGACAACTTCTAAGAAGTACCTTGGAAGACACATTAATGAAACTAACTCTGGAGGAAATATAAAAGTTGAATAGGA